CCACATGACAGAGAGGGGAACACAAAAATGACTCAGCCTGCAACTGAAAATATGGATGGAGGACCTCAGTTTACAGTGTTCCCACGGGTCCTTAAAAAGTCTTAAAATGCATTGAATTTAGCAGTCCAAAAATATGGCCTTAATTAGCCTTAAAAAGTCTTAAATCAATCTTTCAGAGATCTTAAAAATAGGATGGTTGTAATTCCTCTCAAATATTCAAAGAATTGGTAACATTTATTACTACTGAATGCCCCTCGGAGCTAGTTTTGTATAAAAAAATGGATAAAATTGTTGCTAACTGGGTTTTTTTTCCATTTGTGTTTATTGTGATATTGGTTTTAAATTTAATTTCAAGTGGCATTAAAGAGGTCTTAAAAAGTCTTGAATTTAACTTGCCTTAAACTGTAGGAACACTGGTTTAACTTGTTAGCGCCGAGCTAATACATATAAGGCAATGTAGCGTCGGTCTAACAGAGACAGTAAACAGAACAGGCTAAAAATAACCAGGTGGCCAAATTAAAGGAGTTTGAATCAAAAGGTTGTAGACGTTAAACCAATGATTGCTTTTTAGTAGGCTCATTTAAATCCATCCACTGTTTCATGAGATATTTTGCTAACAGACCAATAAACACAGACGAGGACTGAATATTATTGCAGACATAAAATATTTACTGAGCAGCTAAATTAAATACTGCTCAGCTCAGRAGCCTGATGTGTCTTCATTTAAAAAATGTTTTTATTTTTGACTTTTAGGCAACAACAAGCTGGGGGGTCAGGACTTCAGCCAGAGGCTGCTCCAGTACACCGCAGAGAGGGTCCGACAACAGTTCGGTGTCTCCCTCACCCTGAAGGAGGACATCCACCGTCTCCGACAGGCCGTGGAAGCTGCCAAGCTCAACCTCACCCTCCACCCCAGCGCCACCATCAGAGTGCCCCTCCACCTCCGCGCAGGCCCCGCCCCCGTTCTCTTCCAGGCCGAGGTCACCCGCCAGCTGTTCGAGGAGCTCAACGAGGACCTCTTCCTGAAGATCCTGACCCCCGTGAAGACGGTGTTGGCCGAGGGCCACCTGGAGAAGGAGGACGTGGACGAGATCGTTCTGGTGGGGGGGTCCACCAGGATTCCCCGGATCAGGAATCTGATCAGCGAGTTCTTTGGGAAGGAGCCCAACACGTCRGTGGACCCCGACCTGGCCGTGGTGACGGGCGTGGCCATCCAGGCCGGCATCATGGGCGGCTCCTGGCCGTTACAAGTGAGCGCCATCGAAATCCCCAACAGACACCTGCGCAAAACCAACTTCAGCTGAGTCACACCTCCACCCCGACACCTGCAGACAGGAGAGACTTGTGGGCCGTTGAAACCATTTCTCTCTTCCTCTGCTTGCGACAGACGGCGGTGACGAAGTCCCCAAACAGCTTCCTGTGATGGTGACCGATAAGGTTTGCAGAAACGACCAGCTCTGCTGTGTTTTTAATGAGACATGCTTTTCCTCTGCACCAGCTACAGCAGAAACAGGTTTCATGGGTCAGCAGCTGTGTTGCAGCACGTCATATGAAGCTCTTGGAACAGACCAAACGGGCCAGTACTTCACCTATTTATTTATTTATGTGTCTGAAGGTGTCGGCTGATTCGCTCGGTGCATTTTCAGAACGCTGATTAACTGGGATGGAGCCGCTGCAGGGCAGTGGTTCTGTCCTGCTCACCATGCTTCTGTTTTCATGATTTACTTCAGCTTAAAACTGTACATATTAGTAATTAATTTAACAAACGGTCATAAGCCTTATTGTTCACAGTACTGTTAATCTGTATCATAATTTAAATGGAACGTATGGGTTATTTATCTTTGAAATGGACATGTCTCACTGTTGCACTTTAAGGACTCGTTTGCCAGCTCACTTCCTGCTGTCTTTAAATGGCGTCACTCATGGTGGAGTTCTGCTTCAGCCGGAGGTCATTTCCTGCAGAAAGACCAAAGTGTTGCTCAGCAGTGCCTTGTTTCATATCAAACTGRAATGTCACATCTAAAAGGTTTTCAGTTTGTCCTCTGGCCAGGTAAGCAGCAGGCTCAGGTTTCTTAAACAAACCTGGGTCCACTGATGGCACATCCAACATTCCTGTCGTTCACATAGCTTGTTTTTTGCCAAATGTTTTGTAAATAGAAAAATAATGTTTGTACAGAGATGAGTTGATACTGAGGGCACGCTGCAATGTCAAACTAAAATCTATTTTTGTATTTGACACTCAGACTCCACCCGTTTGAAAATAAACTGCTTTTCCATCTAATGCAACCCTCAGTTTCAGCATTTTATTTTTTAAATAAAAGTAAATGCGTTTCCTCCTCAAAACATCTGGAGAAAACTGATCACACACAAGAGCCTCCAGGTTTGGAGCACTTCACCTTTGAATTAAACACAACAATTGGAGTTTTTAAATCTTTACTTCTCAGGCATACAAACATCCAGAAATAAAACAAAAAGGCAGCTTGTCTTTTGACGTGCTGCTTGCTGTGATTTCTTTAGATTCCCTTTAACTTCACTAATTTTAAGTTCATTTCCACCAGCGGTTRCACTAAAACACCACAGAGATGCTGSAAGTCAACGAGCAGACTGATGGTGTTTAAATGATAGTTCATGGCTGGAGCATCTCACCTTTTATATATTATAACACTCTCAACATAACACTGCACACGAGGTAAAAAATACAGACTCAGTCAGAACGCACACAACAATGACATCTTTAAAAAGGAAACATTCACAGTTATCCCAAAAAAAAAAAAACATCTTCATCCTACAGGTTTCAGCAGTTCCTCTGGAGTCGGGGAGCACAGCTCCCACAGGTTTGGATTCATGCTCAGATGAGGCGGGAGGAATGATCAAAAATCTAGTTATCTCACATGAACTGTGTGAAAATGTCCCCTGCAGGAGGAGGCGAGGCGTCCGTAAACAGATRGGGTTTTCTCTTTCAATATAAATACCAATATTCTGGACTACAGTAAAGTGAAGCACTGACCGAGGAGACAGCAGCAGCATGCTGAGAAAACACCTGATAAAAAGCAGCCGGGAAATTCAGCACTTACAGCGCTCGAAAATTAATCAACCGCTTTGCAAATTTAGCTTAAAGTAAAGAACCTCAGAACAYCCTCTTCTGCAAAGATAATTCTGAAGAGGTGCTCGTAGTCCTGTGTGACGAAACATCCTGTCCAGGAGGAGAGACCGAACCGATGCGTAGAGCATGAACCGGAAGTAGGCGGGTGTTTCCAGCTCGTACAGACGAGACGTCCCACTGATGAACAGGAAGGAGGATGTTTAACCGTCTTACAGCAGAGTCCAACAGGCAGAGGCTGAAATCACTGGTTGTAGTTGTAGCTTTGGTCCTCATACAGCTCATCAGCACTGCCTCCATTTCTCACCTCTAGAGGGCGGCAAAGACAAAAAAAATACTGAGAAATTACACTTTCTGTGAAAACGCAGTGAACACAGAAGAACAACTTCAGAAATGTGTTGAAAAAGCWAAAACTGTGTTGTTAAAACTAAAAGAAATGGCACTAAAAAGCTAAAAGTGGCCATACTAAGGAGGAAAAACACAAAACAGTTAAAGCAGATTTCTAAGAAAGTTTTTAAAGGGATCCCCGATTAGTTGTAACAGARTATTTGATAAACATATTTTAACTGTAAAACAAAGACTGTAAAAATACTGTAGGCTGTTTGGTTTTGTATTTTTTTTAAACTATTTTAACACAGATTGAGCCATTTTATTTACACGCAAAGCATTCTGGGTAAATGATGACATGGATAGGTCCTCGGTATGAGRGAGCTATATCCACCCTGAAGGTTAATCTTGAACAATATCTGATGATCG